ATAAGTTTGTTCTCTTTTTAATTGCAGGTGCTCACTGCTCTATTCTTTTTTGCAACTGGATCCTACCAAAGGCCAGGTTGCAAAGCACACATCTCAAGAAATGTGCAATGTGTACATAGAAGAAGTTACTCAGGCGCTGACACACAAAAATATAATAAATAAATATATTCGGTTCCCTGATACTCCAGCTGCTAGACAAGCAGTTAGTCAACGATAATAAATATATGCTTATTTTTAAACAACCTAATGCAAATTAATCATTAGATTCAGTTAATATTTATTTTAAAATTCAGTTTTTACAGAAAATATGGAATTCCTGGAGTGGTAGGTTGTATTGATGGAAGTCATTTTAAAATAGTTGTCCCACCAAAAGAAGAGGAACATTTGTATTATAGTTGTAAGCACTACCATTCACTTAATGTTCAAATGGTAAATCTTAAGTTTTTTTATTTTTTATTATTCCTTGGTTAAAAAGGGGTAGAAAATAAACAAAATGTCTTCTTTTCAGGTATGTGATGATGAATATAGAGTTTTAAATGTGAATTCCAAGTTTGGAGGTGAAAATCATGATTCCTTTATATGGGAAAACAGTAATTTAAACACATGTGCAATCTTTGCACCGAAATGGAGAAATTGTCTGGCTTTTAGGTAATATATCCACAGTATAACTTATTGGGATGTTTTGAGTTATATGAAATATTTTTAAGTAAAACATTACTAAATGATTTCTATCTATATTATTGACAATAACATGTATATTTTAACTCTAGGAGATTCTGGATATCCCCAACGCCCATGGCTTATGACACCATTTTTAGACGCTGAGTCCAATAATTATAATGAAAAACACATGAGAGCTCGAGTTGTTATTGAAAACACATTTTCAAGGCTGAAAAATCGATGGCGATGTCTGCACAAGGATAGAGTTTTGCACTACAAGCCCGTAAAATGTGCACACATTATTTTAGCATGCTCTGTGTTACATAATATAATTATTAATTTTGGTGTTGAGGATACAGAGGGAAATATAGGTAGGTATCTTAATTTTAAATTGAATTACTATAATATATTAAGCTAACTTATAAATAGTAAACTTATTAATTATGATTTATTTTTAGGTCTGCAATTTTAAAGGAGAATGGTGGAATCTGATCAAATAAGTTACACAGAAAGAGAAGCTACCTCTGATTTAATTCGAGGCAGAATATTAAGAGATCAATTAGCAAGAAGGTTACTATAGGGATTAAATAAATAAATTTGAATAAGCTTAAATCTTTCTTTTATTTATAACAAGCCTTAAATTTTATCACAAATTTAATTAGATAATTACAATTACAACTTAATACAATAATTTAATAATTACAAGAACATTGAAACAGAACAGAAAAGTAATCTAAATCATTTTGTAGAGCCATGCTACAGCTATAATAGTAGTATAGTTGTAGCACGAATAGGTCGGCTCGAACGGGGAAGGACCACGCTCTCACAGAATACCAGCATAAAATAGTAGCCTAACACTGCTGTGTTTCGTATGGTGAGTGTAGAGAACCGGAGTCCCTTTTTACTGGAAAAGAGGCATTCCATCTTAGTCCTCATGGGTGACAAGGCATCTGCATTTTGATTCGCAAGCGAGGATAGATGTAGATGTCTATGGGCCACAGCAACCACTTACCATCAGGTGGACTGTGTGCTCATTTGTCACCCTATCCTATAAAAAAAAGTTTCTCCAGTGTTCTTCGGCTTGGAGAAACTGCTGTGCTGCCTGCTCTGTGTGTGCTGGCCTCACTCTTCTTCGAGGTGATCCTCGAGTACGAATTGGTCTTGCACGGCAAGGTGTAGTTTGCCCCGACAAAGCAGGCCCTGGTTGACTTTCTTGGACTTGAGATGAGAGCACAGTTGGAGTGAGCATGCCCGTATCTGTAATAATTTCAAATTTATTTAAAATTATCACCTTCATGAATAATTAAAGTTCTATCTTACTTTCCATTAGTTAAATATGAAAAATATAAATGAAACTTTCAACAAAATCAATATACCTAGTAGTTGTGTACAAGAACCAAAAAGACAGACAAGTTGGCTTTTTTTTTGAAGTATATGTTTCATAGAATTAGAGAACCAAAACCCAGTTTAAACCAAAATAGATAAAAATAAATAATCATTTAGACGTACCTTCTTCCATTTCTCAGTACTTTTTGTATCACCACTACCATCACTATTCAAAAATTGAGCTAATTCCTCCCAGTTTTTTATACAAGCCATCCTACCTCTTGCATTATTGGATGGTTTGCTGAGATCTCCATGCCTAAAACCAATAAACTTAGTTACAAAATATACAACAACATATTAATATGTTCCCTAAACACTAAATAAATTAAATTCAACTTACTGCTCCATAAATGTCACCATCGAATCGAATTGGGACGAACTAGTCTTCATATTTTTTTACTTATAATTATAATTTAATATTTTCAATTAAAATAAATAAATCGTAAGTTCACAACAAACACAAACTGTCAAAGTATATGAATGATGCTATAATAACCACAACTTTGATAGACAGCTTCTAATATTAAGACGACTAAGTAACTATGTCATCCTAAACTTGGTTAGTTTATTTCACGACGCTAACGTGCTACCAACATAAGAGAAGGAACGAACGCGATTCACGGTGAGTAAACGCGTATCGAAAGGTTAGCTTCGATTGTAACCCACACTCGCTTGTCTTCACTTGTCGATAGGTAAGACGTTAACTCGGTTAACGCGATGGTGAAGTCATTCGAATTATTTTGTGGAACTCCCACTAGGCACACTGAGTGTGCGCGATTGAACGTGGGAAAGCTTGCACTCTAATCGCGCGTTAGATGTGAGTACTGGAAACTTCAGCGACCTAGACTAGTGTACTAAAGAAATAGACAAAAGGGTTAGAAGGAATATTACACAACAAATGTTTCCTGGTGTAAGTGTAAATTTTTGTTAATATGTGTAGTTTTTGTTAATATGTAGTGTAAATATTTATTAATTTATTTTTATATATCATTTTTAATATATCTAATATTAAATTAAATTAAACATGAAATAGTATGCATGAGACTTGTATAATGCCAATAATTCTGTAATAAAATCCTTGCTCCATAATCTAATGTCTGCCATTTTACGACGATAATCGTTTTCACAAAACCGCGCGTGTTAATCTTGTTTGAAGTGCACAGTTTTTAACGCATGACAGAGGTATAAGTCTCTTTCTATCTTCACATCCACGTTATTTTCCGGATAAAGGTGATTCACGTCTTCAAGTACATACGCCATATGTAAAGGCTAATGACGTACAGTTCCGCGGCTACTTAAAAGGGAATGTTAAATTGACCTCTTAAAGTCTTGACGTGTATAGTAGAGCTGCGGCATATTATTTCACGCCCGTTCACCGCTTGCAACTTTACAAGGCGCAGGTTCAGCCTCATATAAAATACTGTTCCCATATTTGGGCCGAGCCACCCCAGTGAGCTTCCATTTGTCTGCCGACTTCCAAAACGGAGTCAGTACTCAATTCGGCTGTATATTTTTTATGTGTGTTACCTCATAACTTTTTACTGGGTGAACGGATTTCGATGATTCTTTTTTTATTTGAAAGCTAGTACTTCTTGGGTGGTTCCATATGAATTTGATCAAAGTCAGACTAATAATTTTTGAGTTATTTTTAATAACTTATATTGAAGTCGGCTGTACAAAATGTTTAATTTTAATTTATACAGCATAATATAGAGAATAGCCACCCGAATTACTGACGACCAAGTTCTTTCTGATTGACTCGATTCACTGGCGCTGCGAGGAGATTATGCCTCCCTTTGAATTTTCTATTGCATTTACCACTGAGTGTTCAGAAGAATTATTCGGATTATTTCTAACCAAATTCTATCATCACACATAATGACAGCATCCAAACTATCTGGTTGAACGTTAAGCCACTGTCTGTTGTATTAAAAGTTTTTTTCTTAGCACGCTCTTTTGTTAAAATGGCTACCACCAGATAACTAATAAAGTATCTTCAAGAAAAGAACCTATTCCTTTTTAAAAGTTCGCAATGCAACTGCAATTCCCGTGGTATATATCATTATCATTGAATACTTCTCCAACTGTCGCCGAATCATTACTGAAACAGAATGTTAATACCTGTTTAAAATAATATAGATTTGAAAAAGTATAACCGCATCATATTGTAAAATACTTCAAAACCATTGATGTAAAGAAAACCGTAGATTTGTGGGGGATTTTTACAATGATTGCGTCCATAATAGATTTAATTGCACCTCATCTTGCTATTATTTTTAATACTTGTATCGATTCTGGTGTGTTTTCTGATTTAATGAAATATAGTAAAGTAATACCTTTATTAAAATCTGTTAGTACATTGGACCCCGCTAGTTATAGACCAATCTCTGTACTACCAACTCTCAGTAAATTTTTTGAAAATTAATTTTGGATTAATTGTTAATTTTTCTTAATACAAATAAATTACTTCATAAAAACCAATTTTCATTTTACAAGGGGTCCCTCGACGTCTGACGCTGGTGTTGAGCTTACGAAATATATTTTTAATGCCAGGGAGAATTCACAAGATGCCTTAGGTATTTTCTGTGACCTTTCCAAGGCTTTCGATTGTGTTCATCATGAGACAATAATCAGGAAACTACAACATTACGGTGTAAAAAATTTGGTGCTTAGACTTATTACTTCATATTTAAGTAACAGAACTCAAAAAGTCGTAATCAATGGTAAACTTTCCTTCGAATCGGTAGTAAAAATGGGCGTTCCTCAGGGCTTTGTTCTTGGCCCATTCCTGTTCTTAATCTATATTAATGACTTACCTTATCTTGTAAGGGACAATCACGATATAGTAAAGGGTGTCTCAGCGCCGATTTTAAACTTTGAATATTTATATAAAAAAAACCAATTGTGTTTATAATATTTTAATTGTAGTAACTTATAGTACATTAGTGCGAATTTTATGTACGGAATATTACACCGTCAAGATGTCTTCCATCACGACGAATGCACTCTTCAAAGCGGACTAACGAATTTGCAGAAACACGCTGCAGAACGTCAATTGATATGGCCCTCACTTCTGTCGTTATTTTAGTCTTCAGCTGCTCTAAATTCGTAAGAGGGGTATCAAAAACTCTTGCTTTAAGATAACCCCATAAAAAAAAGTCAGCTGGGGTTAAGTCGGGAGATCTGGGTGGCCACAATATGTCTCCAAAGCGGCTTATGATTTTTCCCGGAAACAACGCTTTTAGTGTGTCCATGGTGACCCTAGCTGTGTGGGCTGTGGCCCCATCTTGCTGAAACCATACACCGGACTGATCAACATCCTCTTCTTGCAGCTGCGGTACAAAAAAGTTATTAATCATGTCGATATACCGCTCGCTCGTCACTGTAACCGTTGCACCTCGATCATTCTCGAAGAAAAATGGCCCGATGATTTTCTTCGCCGATATTGCGCACCATACAGTAACTTTGGGGCTGTGTAATGCCTTCTGATGTTTTTGTTTTGGATTGCTGGGTGACCAGTAACGGCAATTTTGGCGATTGACGTACCCTTCGAGGTGAAAGTGTGACTCATCGCTAAAATAAACATTGGACATCCCATTTTCCTCTGAAAAAATCCCTAACATCTTCTGACAGAAAATTTTTCGCTTCTTGTAGTCTTCTGGTTTGATTTTTTGAACTATTTGGATTTTATAGGGATGTAATTTTAAGTCTAAGGCCAAAATTCGTTGAATACTTGAACGATGAAGATTCAAAGAGGCAGCATGTTTTCTAACTGATCGTCGTGGATGCTCCGCGACCGCAGCGGCGACGCGGTCGATGTTTTCAATCGATCGAACTGGTCTAATTCGAGGGCCAATTGAATGTTTCATTAAACATCCTGTCGCTCTGAACTTTTTTACCCACGACTTAATTAACTGAATACTCGGGGCATCACTTAAACGGCGGATCTCATAGCGATTACAAAACTTGCGCTGTGCTTCCCTCAGCGAAAACTCGTTGCAAAAATACGCCTCTACTGCGTACGCGCGATGCGCGCCAGACCACTGGGACATAGCGACTAAAAAGCCCGCACTAATCACCTACCGACCGCTACCTCTCCCCTCCCGCTAACCCCGCCGGTTGCCGAGAAATTCGTATTTAAAGTTTAAAATCAGCGCTGAGACACCCTTTATTATTTGCTGACGATACCTCTTTAATTTTCGAACTCAAACGGCAGTCAATTAATTATGATGATGTAAATAATGGTCTATCGAAATTAGTACATTGGTTTCACGCCAATAAATTGGTCTTAAACGTCAATAAGACAAAATGTATCAAACTTACAATACCTAAAGTAAAACATTCGAAAATCAATGTGCTCTTAAATGGGGAGGAATTGAGTCTTGTGGATACCACAGTTTTTCTTGGTATTACTATTGATGCGAAACTTCAATGGGGCCCCCATATATCTAAATCAGCAAGCAGACTTAGTTCTGCAGCATATGCTTTAAGAAAGATTAGAAGTTTCACAGATGTTGAGATAGCTAGGTTAGAGTATTTTAGTTACTTTCATAGCGTAATGTCTTATGGAAATTTGCTATGGGGTAATGCGACTGATATTGAAGCTATACTCGTATTTGTTTTGCAAAAGAGAGCCGTACGGGCGATTTATAATCTAAATTGTAAAGAGTCCCTCAGAGAAAAATTTAAAGAAATAAACATATTAACTTTGGCATCGCAATATATTTATAAAAATGTAATGTATGTACATAAAAACATAAATAGCTTTAATAACAATAAAGATGTTCATATCTTAAACACTAGGAACAAATATAAGCTTGTAATTCCAGTTACTAGACTCCACAGAATTAGTAATTCATTTGTGGGGCAATGTATACGCATTTACAACAAAATCCCAGGACATGAAAAGCAAAACTGTACAAAAAGGGTTATTGTAATATCAAGGAATACATGAATGAAAAAACCCCTGGGAATAAGGGGATCGCCACCATGCTGGTTCTATGAAAATTCATTTAAAGTTAAATAAACAAAATTAATGTTAAGTGAAATTATGTTTAAAAAAAAGTCCAGCTGGGTTTCTTGCTGGTTCTTCCCAGGTCGTATAAAAGGCACTTCTTTTGGCTCGCCGCTCACTTAGCGGTTAGCCACCGTAGAGTATATATATATCACCTGAGGATGCCTCGTGTAGAGGCGAAACACGTGTCGTATTATCGTCAGTGGTGTGTCTTGCCTAGTCTAGTGGTGTTGGGAGTAGCGGTGCTGGGATTAGTGGTGACGGGGAAAGTGCACGCAATTGAGGGAGGGCGGGAGGTGCTCTTCGTACTAGGTAAGACACATCATTTTATTTTATAACGCGTATATTTGCGAAGTAAGTTTTTGTAAAGGCTTTTATATAATGGATTTCCGCAAAGTAACGCCTGATTCTATTAATTAAATCAATATTGAATAAAAATCATTTTATTCTATTCTATTCTATTCATGGGCGGCGGTAGTCACTTGTCGTTAGGTGTGCCGCATGCTCGTTTGCCCACTCTCCATAAAAAATAATAAAAAATAAATCACGTTACCTATAACGATATTATTTATTTATTTATTTTAACACCAAAAATCACAAGCACAATAGAATAAACGTACATATAGCGGACCTAATGCCTTAAGGTATTCTCTCCCAGTCAACCATTAGGCTAAGCAGGGATAAACATATGGGAGGTAGTGCAGCAAAAGTAAACTAATAACGATGATAATAATGATAATAATGAGAAAAAAGGTAACGAAGTTCGAATACATTTTTACACAAACATTTTATACTTTTAATTTATAACAGCCTGACCTTTCCTTTTTATAACTTTAAATTAACTAACCACAATGTTTGCGACTGCTGAAAAGGAAAAAGCTCTCTAACAAGAATAAATTATTAGGTTTAATTTACATACGTTTATGCCAATTAACGTTTCATACTCCTGTTTCTCTTTGTAAATATAAAGCGTTATACTCTAATTAAGAGATTAGATACTTATACCAACACGTAGTGTTAACATTTTTTTATATAATAGTAAAGTTTTAAACAATTATGTTATGCAAAAAAGAGTGTTGTGTATTATATTTTAAATACTTAGTGTTATTTTAATAATTTAGTATTTTATTTAGTTATTAAAAGTTCAACATAATATACAAAATAGTTTTTTGTAAAGATAAATAAAAATATGTAAAATGCATGTTTCCTTAAACTAAAAGAGACTCAGAGGTTAAGCACTCGCTGTGAATATCACAGTACGCGGATAACACGGCCACGGGAAGTTGAAGACATGTAAAGTCTGCTTGAATGCTGCTGCATGTAAAGTACAACAGGCTTGGAACAGCGCGAGGAACATTTTATACCTGCGACAGCGCAAGTTTTTATTTTTAATTTTACAGAGTAAGGGTAACAAAGGAGCACACAGTGCACCTGATGGTAAGTGGATGCTATAGTCCATACTTCATAGACATGTGTCTTGGATTGAGAATCAAAATGTAGATGCGTCGTCTCCTCTGAAGACTAAGATATAATGCCCCGTTTCCATTAAAAAAGGATTCCGGTTCTCTACTCTCACCATACGAAACGCAGCAGCATTAAGCTGCTATTTTACACTGGTATTCTGTGAGAGCATGGAGTCCCTGATCAAGCCGACCCATTCCTGCCAAAGCTATAAAATAGAGCGTGGCCCTTCCTTGTACATAAAAGTTTAATAAAGTTTAAAAAAATATTACAGTATATTTACTTTATACGTACTCATTTCTGAGAAGGATTGAGGACAAGGAAGTGTCCGCAGCGCTGCCCGAATCCGTATTGACGGATTTCGTACGGCTTTGAAATTTTTTTTCAACTTCTCAGACATGCATGTTTCCTCACGATGTTTCCTTCTTGGTAAATTGGCACTTAAAATTGCAAGAATCGAAATTCGTTTTGGATTGTGCGATTGTGCGCGCTGTCTTGAATACAAATGAAAATATTTCGGTTTCGTTCATTTACTACACGTTCCAGTTCACAATACAATAACACTAACATGTTATTACTTCGGTAATGCTCTGTTTTAAAAACATATAAGTCAGAATAATACATGTATTGCTGTCTAGTAAAACTTGTATAGTAGACGCGATAATGCTGCTAAAGGACATCATTTGTTTAAAAAATGACATGAAAATTATAAAATCGAATTATGTGACCCTAGAAGACGCGGGTTTAAATTAAATAACAGTTTAAATTTTGACGGTGGCCCAATTCGTTTAACGCATATACACAGCAAGTCAACAACCGCTATAAGTGAGGTCAATAAACTAGCTCGCGCTGATAAGGACTTTTCTGTCCCATACTCACGCCATATTCCTGTCTCGCCTGCATCATTACCTGTCCATAGCTGCGAGGCGAGTTCTCCAGTGAATAGCGGGCGCAAATAGAGGCCCGCACCGTGGTTTTGACGAATGTAGTTATTGTGCTAACACTACTGCGTCTGCGCCTACGCAATCCGAGTCAACGCCAATTAGCGAAAACGATGCGAATAAAAACGTGTAACAGCAATGAGTTCGGGACGTAAAAGGTTTTCCGATGTGGTGCGCGAGGGTGGTCAATGGAAACCAGAAGCACCAAAGGATCATTGGATTCTTTTGCAAAGAAGACGGTTGCGTAATCGTTTTATGGTAAAAAAAGGAGAAGCAGATTTAGAGCTGAATTGCGGTTTAAGGTGGCGGATGTTAAAATTCCATTTCACATTCATAATGTTGACAAAAATGCCTCTGTCGATAACGTAAGTAAATACAAGAGCAAAACAAGCATGGAAGTTGCTTTGGAGAGAGTGAACATGAGGCAAAAAAAGGAATACGAAGCGTATAAGTTCCCTTATTCCGAAACATAAGCTGTCCGTTTTTATGGACGAAAATATATACCTTTAAGGTGTGTCGTCTCGAAGATTTCTAACTTTCAACAACGAATATATGTATATGTGATAGAATGTGTTAAAAACCTTAATCATAGAAAATCAATAGATATAATGTATGATAAAATTGTGGCATCATTGTCAGAGGCCGCAGTATCTAGTCATAATAAGGGGAAGTGTCAGAAGGGCGTTCGTATTGTTAGCTGGAATAAACATGTTAAGGATGCTCACCGGGATGCTAGGCAGAAATTTATAAATTGGGTGTCGCATGGCAAACCTATTGGTGGTAAATTGTATACAGAAATGTATGAAACAAAAAATTTATTAAAATATGGTCAAAATAATACATACCAAATTAAAATGGGCACGTTAGTAGAAAATCATAAAAACAAAGACTTTGGAAACAAACAAAAAAGGTGAATCTTAAGCCGAGCATCCCTGCGAATATTGAGGGTGTAAATAAGCCAGGATAGATAGTAAATTAATTTAAGGAGCATGTTAAGGTAAAAACACCGAAAATTTCGTCGTGGATAATGTCGAATGTTGAGGACAGAACTTTACTTCGAATGATGTTTTTGATGTAATTAAAAACATGACGAGGGGCAAATCGCCAGGGCACGACGGCCTCAGCATTGATCTTCTGCACCCAGGGCCTCATCTTTACGGGTTTCTTGCTGCTTTTTACACCCTTTGTGTTTGACATTCCTATCTTC